ATCTTATGTAAAATATGAAATATCACAAAATCAGAACATATTTGCCCTGGGTACATTGGGGTGTTATTGATTATTTTCATGTGGTTATTCTACTATATAATGAAACACCTCTCGCAGTCTGAGCGTGCAGGATAAAGGCCTTTTGATGGCTTTTGGCAGAGAAAGGGAACAGATGTGCGGGTTTTAGTTCAATGAAACTGTTTCAAAGTTCATTCAATTGTCAGTAAAACAACAACACACCAAGGTGACTGTTCCCTGGCACCTCCCTTCAGAGACCCCGCAGCACTTTGGCCCCCCTTTTTTCTTCCACAGCCTCTGAAGTAGTTTGAGGTGCATTCAGAAGATGGGGAAACTGAGGCACAGAGAGAGGAGGGGACCTGTCCACAGTCACACAGCACAAGTCCATGGCAGAGCTCAGGATAGAGCACACCTGTCCCGACTCCCAGCCAGCCCTGCTCTGAGCTGCTAGATTAGTTGTTTTCAGCGTGGGGCCCGCAGACCCCTGGGGTCCACAGAGGGTGTCTGAGATTTCCAAAGGGGTCCCACCCCTCCATTCAAAATATTTTTTAGGGGCTCACAAATGAAAAGAGGTTGAAAATCACTGCACTAGACTCGCCTCCCCTCCCAGGGCTGGGGATAGAACCCAGGCGCTCAAGCCTGCACCAGCATTTGAACAAGGGCCTTGTAGGCCCCTCGGGGGGCAACGAACCCCACTGGCCACTGCCCTTTGCCAGCCCGCTCTGTTCCAACTCACGCCCAGGGCAGCACGGATGATGCCTGCTCCCTTCCCAAGCACAAGGCCCAGCTCGGGCACCAGGTGTCGCTGGAGGACAGGGTTAGGGAGCCACCTGGCCTGCGGGCTGCACGGGGCTCTGGGATGACTCCTGTGTGCAGGAAAGTAGGGGGGAGGGTAGGGGTGGGATAATGGAGCCTCTACAGGAGCCCAGCAAGGGGGGCTGGAGCCGGAGGGGCGAGGTGAGCTGAGGACCAAGTCCTGGCGAGCTAGCACACAGCTAATGAATGGATGGCAGGGGCAAGAAGAGAACGCAGGGGTCCTGGCTCCTAGCCCCGCATCCCTTGAGCCCCCCACCAAGCTGGGGATAGAACCCAGGAATCCTGACTCCTAGCCCCACCTCCCTTGACCCCACTCCGCTCCCCGAGCCGGGGATAGACTCAGGAGTCCTGGCTCCTAGCCCCTGCAGTTAATGGTGTCCCAGCATCTGTCTGTGTAAACTGCTCTGTGAAGGAAGCTCTGTCCCACCCCAATTTGCTTCAAACCCCACAGCCAATCACCCCCCCACCACCCACTTCCCTGAAGTCTCTCCCCTTCTCCACTCCAGTTCCCACCCCATGGCCTGCTGCCCCCTCCAATGCCCTGGCTCCACTTCCCAGTCTCCCCCCGTCCTCCAAACAGCCCCACAAAGAAACCACAGAGCTGAACTCCGACAGCCTTCCATGTTCTGCCAGCCACCCTCACGGCCCCATCGTCCCCCTGGCACCAGCCACAGCACTGCCGGCCCCACAGCAAGGCAGGGGAGCAGCACGCAGACCTGTCTGAGCCCACAGGCAAGTCCTCGCCAAAGCCACTGCAGCCAGGGCCCACATGCCCACAGACACGCTCAGGTGTGCAGGCTGGTGCTCCAGGTTGGACTCCCAGATTCTCTCCCCAGCTCTGAGGGAGGAATGAGGTCAGGACTCCTGGGTCCCTCTGCAGACTAAGCAAGCCATTCAGTGTCCGTGCTTGGGCAGGGGCCTGAGGGACAGAGGTGCTGGGACCTGCAACCCATGGGGTTTGGGTGCTGGGAGCAATCAGGCCACACCCCCCCCAAACTGGGCAGCCCCAGCAGAGGCCACTTGTGAAAGCTGCAGCTTGCCCCCTGTGTGGCTCCATTCGCTCCCCTGCAGCAGAGCCAACATGAACTTGCCTTTGCAAAGCCCTGAGTGCCACCAGCACAGCATGCTCCTAGCTCCGCCATTGACCCGCTGGGCACAGCAGGAAGAACAGAACCCAGGAATCCTGGCTCCCAGCCCCCGCTGCTCTAACCACTAGAGTCCACTCCATGCTCTACACTAGGACTGGAACCCAGGAGTCTGGCCAGCCAGATGCCCCGAGGCAGGAAGTGTTGCATCAGATTTAGCACCCGTGGGACTGAGCCTGCATTGGGGGGGGGGGGCAATCACATGGCTGCAGCCCCCTCTAGGGAACATGCCACCCCGAAGAATTGAAGCTTGCAGTGTAATCACCCTTTCAGGTTGCCCAGGGAACCACCCATCTGCAACCCCATGGGACTGACTGCCTGAGTCTACACTGCAAACTGGCATTGGCCAATAACTCCACCTCCGCAAGAGGCAGCGGGAGAAGCCCTACACAGGGAGTTAGTTGGTGTAACTGCTTCGCTTGGGGGAGTGGATTTTTCACAACCCTAAGCAATCTAGTTACATCAAACTGTGTAGCACAGACCTGGCTGCTACATTGACACTGGAATTTAGTGACACCACTGACATTTTGAAGCATTAACTCCCACTGCTGACCATCTAGCAGTCACACCAGCCGGCTGTGCCGGGATTGTGGGGCCAGCATGGGCACAGGAGGGTGACTTGTCCATAGGCCCCTCTTGTGGGAGGAGCCTAAGGGAGAGGTGAAAGGAATCTCCATGGGAAGCCCCCAACGCAGGAGAGAGATCAGGTCAGAATGGGACACGGCAAAGGAAAGGGACAGTCCTGCCCAAGGGCAGGGCTGAGGCACATGAGGGGGGGCCAGGTGTGTGGGAGATCACCCCATAACTGCCTGCCCCTTATATCCCCACAGGACATTAGTCTGCGGGGCTGAGAAACAGCAGCTTCCACCAGCCTTGACTTCACCGCAGGTGTAAGCGGGGGAATAGTCACACTCTTGGGGGGAACTTTCCTGGCTTCTGCACTACCCCGGTGAAGTGGGCTAGCAAAAGGATCTGAGTCCTCACTCCCACACTTCCTTCACCCAGTGGCCTTCCTGCCCTTGAGGACTCCCCTTCCACTCTCCTGTCTAGCAGAGTCCTCGTAACCCCAACAAGGCTGGGCGCAGGATTCCTGGGGGGCTCGACCCCCAACCCTGCTGTGGTCACCTAGGACAGGGGCTAGGGTGTCCCCACTCCGGGGTACTCCCTCTGCACCGGGCACTCCTCTGACCCACTGACCATTACATACAAGTTAAAGCAAATGCAGGTTATTTAATCAACAATTAATTTTAAAAAATAAGGAAAACTGGGAAGGTTAAAGGAAACACATCAGCCCGCTCTGTGGCAGGGAACATCACAAACAGTGTCTTTGGAATGTCCGGGCAGTTCACAGTCTGGTCCTTGTAAGTCCCAGGCCTCCTGCTCAGGCCCTGGCTGTGCTGCAGGGATGCTGTGGGTGGACACTTGCTCTGCTGGTGGCCACACGCTCTCAGGCTCTAAGTGGTAGGACCCTTCTCCCCAGTGTTGCCCCCGACCTGTCGGAGTTACGATCCAAGCCTGGCCTGCAGAGCCTCTTGGCTGAGGCGTCTCCCCGTGCTGGGCTGCCCACTCACCGCACCCGGCTCCGGACTGCTCCAGCCCCAGCTCCACCACTCCGTCTCAGCACTGCTGCTGCTCTGCCTCCAGCTCCCTGGGCTGCTTCTCTGGCCCCCTGGCTCTGGTTGCTGCAGCTCTGCTCCCAGGACAGGTCTGCTCTGCAGGCTGCTTCTGCGACTCTGCTCCCAGCACTGACCTGCTTCCCGGGCTGCTTTTCGGGCCCCTCTGGCTCTGGTTGCTGCAGCTCTGCTCCCAGGGCATGTCTGCTCTCTCTGGGCTGTGCCTCTGGCTTTGGGGCTGCACCTCTGCTCCCAGGACAGGGTCTGTTCTCTCTGGGCTGCTTTTCTGGCCCCTCTGGATCTGGCCCAGCTCTGCTCCCCAGCTCAGCTTGGGCCCCTCCTTTCTCCATAGCTCAGCCCCACTCTGTCTGAACCAGGCAAATACAGCTCACACAGAGGACGGGACCTCCCTGGCCCCCTGATTAGCCTGCCTGCCCAGTCATTCAGGTTGACCTGGAGCATTCACCTCTCCCCATTGTTCCTGGGGGCTGTCAGTCTCAGGGTCCTGATTCCCCATCGACCCTTCCCCCTTTTTAGTACTGGGAGCTAGCAACTAAAACACCCCCACTGAACGTTAGTAAGGGGGCAACACTCCCCTTACACAGGGAAGAATTTCCTGCTCCGACTATGCCTGAAAGGACGTTGGTTAAATCGGCGTAGCTTCCATGGCTCTATGACAGGGGTGGGCAAACTTTGGGGTGCAAAACTATGTAGGGCTGGGTAGGGAAGGCTGTGCCTCCCCAAACAGTATGGCCCCTGCCCCCTATTTGCCCCCTCCCACTTCCGCCCCCTGACTGCCCCCCTCAGAACCCCCCACCCATCCAACACCCCCCCCCCCGCTCCTTGTCCCCTGACCGCCCCTTCCCGGGACCTGCCCCCTGACCACCCCACCACAGAACCTCCACCCCATCCAACCGCCCCCTGTTCCCTGTCTGCCCCCGGGACCTCCTGGCTCTTATTCAACCCCCCAGCCCCGGCCCCCTTACCATGCCACTCAGAGCAGCATGTCCAGAGCCACACCGCCCAGCCGGAGCCAGACACACTGCCGCGCTGCCCTGCATGACCGGGCAGCCCTGCCGCCCAGAGCGCTGCCCGTGCAGCGGTGTGGCTACGGGGGAAGGAGGACAGGAGGGGAGGGGCCAGGGGCTAGCCTCCTGGGCCAGGAGCTTAGGGGCCGGGCAGGACAGTCCCATGGGCTGGATGTGGCCCGCGGGCCGTAGTTTGCCCACCTCTGCTCTAGGGTGCTTTGCACCAGCTTAGAATCTGGCCTGATGTGTCTGTTTCGCCCACATGACTGAGTGATGCACCAAGAGCAGGGTGTGCGTGTTGGGGGTGTCTATGCAGGACAATTATATCCACACACACAGAGACAAGAGCAGGGGAGGAAAAACCACACAGGATACTGTACTGAAAAGTAACCATTTATTAGAACCAATACAAGAGTATGAAAGAGTGCGAAGGGACAGGGGGCCTTTGTAACATGTCAGTCTCATGATGGGAAAAAAATCCCTAGTTTAAAAACATCACTATTTAAAAAAAGCATAACATACATTAGCGGAGAGACGGGCTACGCTACTGAACATCACACGGGAGAGGGGAGAGCCGTGAGCCACACGCCGGCTCAGACAGACACTTTGCGCCACACAGTAGCGCCTGGCTAAGGTCTGGAGGACAGAGTCCCACTCTTCCCTAGCAAGTCAGTTCTAACAGAGAGATGGGTTTGAATGCTGCCCACGGCCCCCACACCAACAGTGCTGTGCCACCTACTGCCTAGGCAACACAATGGTGACACAGCAAGGAAACACACACCTGGCACGTGGTGGGAGCAGCCATGGGTTCTTCTCAAGTCTCTTCCAATCGCGCTTCATCTTGCAGCCCTTACTCACGCCAAGCAGCGATTGGGATGGCTGGCAGGAGAGGAGGTTGGGCCCATAGATTAAAAGTAACACTGTCAAAATAATTTAGGACTAAAATGTGTCAGACCTTGAAATGATCCAGCCTGCTGAGCAATGACTTCTGAACTCTCCAGGGGAAGAGTCTCATTTTGTCAGAGATGTACTTTTTTAAAAAAAGGGGTTCACCCCCTGTTCAGGGGAGGGGGGGAACATCAAAAATGTGGGAGCTGAACCCCTAAAAGCTCAGATTGGCTAGGAAGGAAAGATGCCCCCAAATGGAATGGCAGGACCTAGCCCCCTGGAATACTAGAAACTGACAAGTAGAAAGTAGCCCTGTATTTTGCAGATTCACCCTTATAGGAGCATGGACTCTACATTTGTTCAAAAGGAGGCATGTATGCTACAAAACAACTGCGCTAGGAGACTCAACACTAGGCTGAACTAAGGCTCTGTCTTGCCTCTACATGTGGGATCAGAGCAAGTTTTAATCATTAGCAAATCATGCCTCACCAACAGACTTTTAATCAGGGGGAGTCCAATTTATAAGAGGAGGAAGACAATCATCATGTTCCAGCTTAGAGAAGGCTCAGCTGTGATCCCAGATAAAATTAGAACATCTGTGACAAAAATTCATGTGTTTAATTAAAATGTAATTAATTTCCCCACTTCACTTGCAAGTTACCAGTCCTTGCAAGTGGCAATCTCCATGGAACAGACAGAGAGGACAGACTGGAACTAGACTCTCTAAAAGTTAATAGTTGTTTAAAAGCAGGGCGGATCCAACCTTTAGCACAAAAGACTTGAAATCGTTGGCAATTGGCTTTGAGAACTGACTCGGCCTAAAAAGTGTCCACACAGAAGTGCTCAGTATATAAAAGAAAGATTTTTAAAAAAACACACTAGTTACAAAGTTGGCCAGAGACCACGCCCATATCTCAGAATGATCGCTCCCCAGATCCCTTCTATTTAACAACAACAAAAGAAATTTGACAAAAAATTAGCGTTCTGCTTTGCCATAAAAAAAAACAACAACAACACCAGGAACAGCAACTTGACAGAGGGAGGAGATTGGCCAAGGGGATCATTTCCCACAAAGGAGAGTGTGGATACGCGTCGGAGGACTGCCCAGTGCAGTAGGGCTGGGGAGCATTGAGTTGGCACAGGGAGTTCTAGCTGCCTTGACTGCACTGGGTTACAGCCACTTACAAGGGATTAAAATAAAGAGCAAGAGAGGTCAGAAAAGCATTTTACCCAACCACAGCCCTGGATTCTGGGTGTTCCTCCTTGGGAGAGTTGGAGATAGAGTCCCCCTCAAAATGGCATTTTTAAACAGGTGCAACAGCTGTGGCCTGTCCCCCAGCTTTATTGAAAATTAGCCCTGCACGACCAGTGTTTGAATGTGGGTCTTGTTCAGTGACAACTGCACGTCAGGAGACCAGGAGCCTCAACCTAGGTCTTGGCAGATACGGAAGAGTGACTTCCACCTGCAGTGCAGCTTCCTTATTGTGATGTGGGCATCCCGCACCCCCAGCCATTCCTTTGGGCGGGTTCTCACTCAGAGGCTCGCTCCTTTGCCTTTGGTCAGGTTTGTCTGAGCAGTGTGAGGGGGGAGGGGGGGCAGATTTAGGATCCAAGATTAAATGGTTTTCAGTTCCCCTTCTGCGTGCCACATGTAAGCCCTGTCCCAGTCGGAGCCGACCCCGCTTTGTGTTTGAAAATTACCCTGGTCCCCCCACCACTACAAACCAAGCGTTGAAATGGCAGCTGGCTGGGGAAATCGCTTTGACCTCCCTAGCTAGCATCAGACTTCAACTTGAAAACTATGGTGCAACAAGAGGATCCCAATCCTGGTGTCCACCCCCCCCCCACCCCCAAACGTAGTACACACAGGGGGGAATCAGACCGCATGTGACAACGGGAGGCATGCAGTACGTACTGCATTCTCGGGGCTTCCCTCAGTCTGGCTTTAGCCTTTCTCAATTTATTTTGCAGAACCAGTGTGAACACTTGTGTTGACAATTATCTCAGGTTGGCTTACGCCAATTCTTAACAAGCTAAATAAGTGCAGCATCCACACAGCCTTTCACACTCGTTTAATTAGGTTAGTTTCAAACCGCGCCATTACGGGCAGCTTGTTCACAGACACTAAGCTGTTTTCGTGAGCGAGGGACAATTTGAGAGGGCTGTTTGCAATAAATGGGGCCAAGGAAAAGGGTTGAGTTTTGGTTCCCAATAGATGCCACGAAGGAAAACGTCTCCTCTTTCAGATGGTACATGCCATTTCAGGAACTTAGTTTGGCACTTAACCTCCTGCCCCGAACACCCTGTAAGAAGAGGATTAGGACCAGGGTACTGCTCATAGCTAGACATGCAGGCTGGGACACAAAATAAGCAATGCCCGGAGAGCTTTTCAGTCTAGCATTAAGTATTTGGTTTCGGCCACAAACACCGAAAACCTCCCACGACCTACTCAGAGTTTGCTAAGGGGTTTCTGACATCACTTCTTTACCCACCCCCTTTCTCCCATGCCAGCTGCTCCATCTACTTTTCGAGCAACACTGATACCGGAAATTAGCAAAACAAAATCTAGCCAGAAGGGAAGGTGGCTGGCCAGCTGCAGAGAAGCTTCCTCTCTGCAATAGGAAAAGCAGCAGGACTGAGCATTCAAGAGCAGTTAGAAGGGAGCGACTGGGGAGGGATCTGGGGCAGACTCAATAGGCAGAGATCTGCCTGGCGCACGAGCTTGCAGGGAGGTCCAGGACAGCCCTATTGACAGATGACACTACATACTACGCTGCCTGAGGCTGCAACCAACACAATCTATTACTCTGTCTAGAAGCCACTTCGAATGCTGAAGCAACTTAAGAACTATTTTGCATCTCCCAAAGGGGCATAATTCAGGCTGGAAGGGAGAAGACATAACAGCTACCCTCAAGACTGACTGCTGAAACAGCACCTGACATACCAAGCCTGCTGAGCCATGTGGCTCTAATCTGATTCATATCAGGCTTTTTATCCAGAGCCATTTTACTGCTTCTATTAGAACATGCAGCACAGCTAAAATGAGAGTCCAATAGGCTCATGGGGAGTATTTGCAACCAGCTTTGGTCACAACCAGTGTTCCCTCTAATTTTTTCCACACATGTGCAGAATGAATTTTGTTATGTGCATCAATATGTAAGTGATGTTGTACCATATTGGTGCACATAACAAAATTCATGTGGTGGGGATGGGGCTGAAGGGTTCAGAGTGTGGGAGGGGGCTCAGGGCTGGGGCAGAGAGTTTAGAGTGTGCGGTCTCCAGCTAGGGGTGTGGGCTCTGGGGTGGGGCCAGAGATGAGGGGTTTGGGGTGTAAGGACTCCGGCTGGGGTGTGGGCTGGGGATGAGGGGTTTGGGGTGCAGGCTGCCTCAGGGCTATGCAGGGAGAGAAGGTTTTGCAGGGTTTTGTTCAATATCTTCATTAACAATCTGGAGGATGGCATGGATTGCACCCTCAGCAAGTTTGCAGATGACACTAAAACTGGGAGGAGAGGTAGATACGCTGGCCGGTAAGGATAGGATACAGAGGGACCTAGACAAATTAGAGGATTGTGCCAAAAGAAATCTGATGAGGTTCAACAAGGGGCTCTTAGGATGGAAGAATCCCATGCACCGCTACAGACTAGGGACTGAGTGGCTAGGCAGCAGTTCTGCAGAAAAGGACCTAGGGGTGACAGTGGACGAGAAGCTGGATATGAGTCAGTGTGCCTTTGTTGCCAAGAAGGCTAACGGCATTTTGGGCTGTATAAGTAAGAGCATTGCCAGCAGATCGAGGGAAGTGATCATTCCCCTCTATCTAGCATTGGTGAAGCCTCATCTGCAGTACTGTGTCCAGTTTTGGCCTCACACTACAAGAAGGATGTGGAAAAATGGGAAAGAGTCCAGCAAAGGGCAACAAAAATGATTAGGGGGCTGGAGCACATGAGTTATGAAGAGAGGCTGAGGGAATTTGGGTTATTTAGTCTGCAGAAGAGAAGAATGAGGCGGGATTTGATAGCTGCTTTCAACGACCTGAAAGGGGGTTCCAAAGAGGATGGATCTAGACTGTTCTCTGTGGTGGCAGATGACAGAACAAGGAGTAATGGTCTCAAGTTGCAGTGGGGGAGGTTTAGGCTGGGTACTAGGAAAAACTTTTTCACTAGGAGGGTGGTGAAGCACTGGAAAGGATTACCTAGGGAGGTGGTGGAATCTCTTTCCTTAGGAATTTTTAAGGTCAGGCTTGAGAAAGCCCTGGCTGGGATGATTTAGCTGGGGATTGGTCCTGCTTTGAGCAGGGGGTTGGACTAGATGACCTCCTGAGGTCCCTTCTAAGCCTGATATTCTATGATTCCATTAACTCCCCCCAGCTCTCTCTCCCCACAGCAGCACCTGGGCTGCGGGGGAGAGGCGCCTTTCCCCACCGCAGCAGCTCCGGGGCTGGGGCCACGGTATAGGCACCTCTTCCCTGTCCACAGCAGGTCCTTCCACAGTCCGGGCCGCCAGCGATGGTCCGCCGATGCGGGCTTCCCATCCCCCACCAGCGGCCCGGAGGAGCGGCAGTGGCTGTGGGCTCCTTTCTGCCTCCTGCCCCGTCACTGTCTGCTGGTGACGGAAGGCGGGGACGGAGAGAGAAGTCCTGGGATGGCAGGCGAGGCCCCTACTTAGCATGAGTCAGGTGCCATTATAAACCTGGTACTGTCTGGGCTGGGCTGGGTCGGGGCTAGGAGAGAGGCATCTCTCCCCACCACAGCCCCGAGCGTCTGTGCGATGCTTAATAGGCTGCTGAGCAGCCACGCAGCTTAGGGGGAACTTAGGTCACAACACAATCAATGGTGGATTTCGCTTAGATTTGCTTCCAGAGAGCAAAGAGTTAAAGAGAGACAGTCTGTGTGGGAAGAAGGGGCCAGTCTCCTGTTAACAGTGCCTGTCCTCTGCGTGCTGCTCCATGTTCTATAGCATTTCACACTAGCTCAGAGATCGCCAGCAGGCTTATCCACTCCCACACACTTATCCACTCCCATCTGCAGCAGACACGGAGGCACAGAAAGAGCATTAATCCATCTTTATTTGCAACTCCTGCAGTGGTTCTCAACCTTTCCAGACTACTGTACCCCTTTCAAGGGTCTGCTTTCAGCTCCGGGAGGCGGGACTCATGCTTTGGCTTCAGCTGTTTCGCAGCTCTCCTGCTTGCCACCCCCTAATGACGGCCCTGCACTTGCAATCCCCCATAACCCATCCTGTCAGACCCAGGCTGAGAAACACTGATACAGTATATAGGGCAGTATAAACAAATGATTGTCTGTATGAAATTTTAGTTTGTACTGACTTTGTACTGACGTGTACCCCTAATTGAGAAGCACTGCTGTACAGCAGCTGCCTTGCTCCCTCCGAGTTTGGTGCAAAGGGCTGTAGGAGGTTGGGGGCTGCGGGGAGAGGAAGAGGAAAACAGAGCTGGCAAAGATCAAGACTCCAGCAAATCACGGGAAGGCTAGCTGACTCCCTTCAGAGAAAAGAAATCCATGCAGAGGCAGGGATAAAGCAACAGCAGCAAGTCTGCCTGCTGGAACGGCTGGAGAGGAAGGGGAAGAACAAGGAGCATGTGATGCTGGGAGAATGGGGGCCAGAGAAGAAGTGGAAGCCACAGGTTGATATGCCAGCAGCTTTTTCTATACCTGAGCTAATACCTGAAAGCAGCGCACCAAGTGGTATAGACTGCAGCCAGGCTATGCTCTTGCATCCCGCCCTGTAAAAGCTTCTTTCGATATCCCCGCCTCCCCCCACATTACAGGTGGGGAAGCCCCTAAACTAATGCAGTCGGAAGGTAGCCAGCTGTTGCCATTACCTATTGTACCAACTACATCCTACAGCAATTCACATACTAGCATCAATGTTTGATAACATGCTACACAGCAAGGAGCCCATGCTACCCAGCTCAGATCCAAATACAGATGCGTCAGGCTTAGCCCTAAACCTACGCAAATCCTAACCAAGTGAGAATGACGGGAATCCCCAAACTCCTCCCAAAGCATCATCACCACATGCCCTGGCTCTGGGAGCACTCTCTGACTAGCCCAAGGTCACTCAAAGCAAATTAAAAAAATGTCATAACCCCATAAACACACACTCAATCTCTGTGGGTTGCGCTAGTGCCAGAGGTACCCGTGCAAGCCCCACGGTTATTGGAACAAGAGGCTGTGAGACCACAGGCGCTTCATGATGAGCAAAGGCAGTTACAGAGATGCCAGGAACGCTGCTAAGCGGAAGCCTTGGAAGGGTGCCAGGGCCAGGAGCACTTCCCAGCACATATGAAAAAGTGTGCAGCATTAGGAACATCAGCATTTCTACTCTGTGTGCTGGCAGCTGCAGCTTGGCTGGTCTGTTTGGCAGTGTGGCTCAGAAGGCAGATTTTTTAATTTCAAATCACTCTCAACATCAGCCAGGACAACGCAACTAGAAATACTGACCCTGCCAATGGGAACTTTCAAAAGTAAATGATGCATTGAGTATGCTGCTCTAAGCAATGGCCATGCTAACCCTTTGCCTGCACACACCTCCAAAAGGCACAGAAGACGATGGCAGGTGCGTCAGTGAAGTGGAAATACTGCACATAGTGATATGTGCTCAACTAGAAGTTGTGTTAGAGACAGAGTGAAATCCTGGCCCCACAGAAGTCAATGAGAGCTCTGGCATTGATTTCCAGGGTGCCTGGATTTCCCCCACAGCATCTGAACTGCTTGCAAGCAGAATTCATCCAACAGTATGAACATTATACTGAAAGGGCTTGTGCCCAGAAGAGAGAGAGACAGACACAAAGGCTGAGAACAAACTGCGTCACGTGCTCTAGAAAAGCAGAACAAGCAAACTTCTCTGTGCCCACAACAAAGACTAACCAGAGTCCAAGGGCCAGGAAGGGAGTCAGCACTGATAAAACTCCCTCTGTACCCAGTCTACAGATATGCCCCAATGCCATTCAAGATTTCAAAGCTCACTATAAAGGGAGAGAATCAGGGTAGCAAAGGGGTGGGAATGACGGAAGATAAACAAGAACAGGACCAGGCCTTTGGACTGAGGAAAGTCAGGATGCAACAATGATATTTTCATTCGAGAGAATAAACCCACAACCCCTTTCCAATTCATCCACCTGCAGGTCCCCACTTTATGCAATAAGCCTTTCCAAGCCACAGTGAAGGTCACAAAACCAACTCTCTCACATTCTTGCAGAAGCTTTGCACACGGAACGAGCCAACCAGAAACCAGTGTCAATACCGCAATACCATAATTTTATTACTTCTAGTCATAAAGGAGGACTCTGTTTGCAACATTAGGAGCGGGGAGCTTAAGACATCCATCAGTTCCTGCGGGCAAGGAGACTGCCACAGGCAAGAGAGCCCAAGTCCAGCTAAACTACACAGGATGTAGGATCAGCATGAAGAGTGAACATGATGCTGGAAAGCAAAAGAGGGCTGTGCCGAGATGCTAAGGAGCAGACCCTGCAACCAGCCCTAGGTCAGGTCTCCACTCTGGCCTCACCATACTCAGGGAGGGAAAGAAAAAGGAACCCCTGAGAGCAGTGCCTAATGCTGCAACGGCTCAGTTCTGCACCACCTTACTGTGCTGCCAGCTCTCTTGGGCAGCAGAGCGACTGTCCCAGATACCCATGCCTTGCAAAACGAGCATTCATCCCCCTGGGAAACAGCAATGCCCTCTCTGCTCCACTGGCACGTCCTAGAGCCTAGGGCATATTTTCCAGGGAGAAGTGCTGTGCATACCAGACCAGATTAGATCAGCTATCCACGTTTCCAAGGCAGAGCTCATGGGGGAGGGAAGGAGAGGTCCTCAAGGGGGAAGCCACTTTGGTAACACAATGCTTGTGGCCTTTGAAGCAACAGCCAATGACAGAAATGGATCAGGTGCCTTGGCACAAAGCCAGGCCACCTGATATGCTCACACTATGGAAATACACAGCCCAAATGAGAAACGAATATATACATACATACTGTATAAGATCATACAAAAGCAGTGGTACACCTCCACCTGCGCCCGACAGGGGATACACAATCGCATTTAAAGTTAAGAAGGCTCTGCTTTTCCTATCTCCCACACATTAGACTCCTCCTGGAGGAAGGGGGCTCGCTCTGCATCTGGGAACCAATACTAATGCAGGCTAGGCTTGCAAAGAGAACACTAGCCTGGAAACTATCCTAGGCACGAGACAGGCTGGAAGGCATCACAACCCAGGACAATTGGTGTCCCCCAGGATGGAGTCCAGATGCATAGTCCCAACAAGACTTTGCCAGTTATGTAACAACACACAAGCCAGCATACAAAGGCCACATTCACCATCTCAGGATGTTGCCCTGTGTTGCATTAGCAGGAGGGATTTCCCAAATGCAGACAGCTCCTATTGCTTTTCCAGCCAAAGCCATTTGTGCACCTGGACAGGATAACTCCACTTAGTTCTGTTTAGGAAGAGCATTGCTGCTATTCTCAGCATTTAAAGCGGCAAAAAGGGATGGAACCAAAGGGAACCAACAACTCTGTAAACCCCTGGAGGCTCTAAGAGGATGTGAGAAGTCAAAACTGTTTTCTGGAGGGTGGGGGGAAGAGAGAGGAGACACAGCACATAAATGTTGTGGGTTTCACTAGAGATGAAGCTGAACATGAAGCAAACCATTTATGTTATGACTGAACCAATAACAAGGTTTCTCCTGGGAGCACAGTAATAAGCACATTTCAATGGATGTGGTCGGGTCGGGTGGATGTGTATGTACAGCTAAGGATGGCCCAGGATGGCACTTTAGCTTTTCGCTGCTTCTCTCTCTTTGTTTTCCGTGTCCTCTGGATACGCGTGCCAGGTCAGTCTCTCCTCATAAAACGCTATCACAATCTGCGGGCATTTCACGTTGGCTTCCTTTGCTAGGACCAGGTCTGCTTCATCTGTGTCTTTCCTGAAGATTCAAAGAGAGTATTACTAGGTTCCTTGTTAGCTCTGGGCTCCCACTGGCCAGCTTTCAACATTACCTTAGAACCTCTGAGTTACGAACACCTTGGGAATGGAGGTTGTTCATAACTCTGAAATGTTCATAATTCTCAACAAAACATTATAATTGTTCTTTCAAAAGTTGACAAGTGAACATTGACTTAATACAGCTTTGAAATTTTACTACGCAGAAGAAAAATGCTTGATTTAACCATGTTGATTTAAATGAAACAAGCACAGAAACAGTTTCCTTATCTTGTCAAATTTTTTTTTAAACTTTCCTTTTATATTTTTAGTATAACACAGTACTGTACGCTGTTTGCTTTTATTTTCTGTCTCTACTGCTGCCTGATTGTGTGCTTCCGGTTCCAAAGGAGGTGTGCAGTTGACTAGTCAGTTTGTAACTCTGGTGTTTGTAACTCTGAGGTTCTACTGTAATAGGACTATAAAACTCTGCTGTGAGGAACAGCGTGAACACACACACACACACACACACACACACGCAGAGATACATCCCTCCTTCACAGGATGTGTGTCTGTCTCTTTATGTATATACATAGCTCTTCTCACACAACCCCTGAGCACTTCCCAGCCATTAATGGGTGTGATCTCCACAGCTCCCTTGCAAGGAAGGGAAGCATCGTACCCATTTCACAGATGGGAACCTGTAGGGCAGAGAGACTAAGTGACTTGCCCAAGGACACAAAGGGAGTCTGGGAGTAACTGAACCCAGGTCTCCTAAATTCCTGTCCACTAGATTATCCTTTTCACTCAGTGTGCAGATTAGTTTTGGACAGTGCCTTGAAAGCACATAGCACTGTGAATGCGGCTCACAGAAACAACTTTAGTCAGATGTCAATGCTAGACTATTAAGCAGCTTCGGTTTCTATGGAATGCTTTCCATTCCCAAAATCACTTTAGCATGTGACTAAACACTGACCACCCCAACTACCATTGGTGTTAGCGAGTTATAGCATTCCTTAGGAACTCTCCACAGACCTGCACTAGCTTGGGGACCAATACAGTGCCCTTTCAATTTCTTGTTTTGTGCAGCACAAGCAATCGTCTCTGGGGTGGAACAGCCAACACAACGATACCCATATACGTAAGGCAAGAAATGTCCTGTTAAACTGTACGTTCACCATAAACATAAAAGAAGAAGTTACTCACTTTGTCCAGTAACAATGACTCTTTGAGATGTGTGTCCCTATGGGTGCTCCACTGTAGGTGTGCTTGTGTCCCTGCACTGCTGATCAGAGAACTTTGGTAGCAGTGTCTACTGGGCCCACGCGTGCTGTTTCTCCTCATGCTGAGCCATGAGGCTAATCAACGTGCACGGGCTAAGCCCCCTCAGTTCCTTCTCTTCCGCAGTCATTGACAAGAACTCTGAAGTAGAGGGGAGGAGGGTGGGTCATTACTGCACAGATGAGTAACTTCTTCTTCAAGTAGTGTCCCTATGGGCGTTCCACTGTAGGTGACTCTCGAGCAGTACCCGTTCTGGAGGGCTGGAACTTCAGAGTCAGGTCAGTTACAGATGACAGTATTATGGAGCTGAAGATGGCATTGGAGGCAGAGTCCCCAGTGATCGCATAACGTTCTGCGAAAGTGTGGACTGACGCCCATATGACATTATCTGATTAGAGTATAATAATGCAAATCATTGTTGCTACCACTGTTATATAATTGCAACAAATCTTATACAAAAAGTGTAATGAATGGCCAGAAAGAGTTAAGCAGCTCGCAGGCTAAATGACCCAGAGCCAACCTTTAGAGACATGTAGAAAAGTATGCGAATGGTAATTAGGGCCATTCCATGGTGGTTAGGCTTGAAATTTGAAATGCAAACCTATACAGTTAGAAATCAGAGGTGATACTAATTGTATGTGTGTACTCATATCGTTAGATGTTAGCTATGTAAACAGACAGTTCAAAGGGAAATACTAACATTTAAATGAACCATAATCACTGTATTCATCTCTCTTTGAAATGTATAGCAAATCACCTGAGAATGGTGGAAAACCGGCAACCGCCTCATGATAATCTGTGTAGCTAATTACCGGTGATGCTTAGGAAATAGGTCAACTTCAAAAGCTCCATAATTGCCTATTGTTTGCCTAAGGACTCCGAGTTGCCAAAAACGACCTGGAACTGTATAAAAACCCTTTGGATCCTGATCCTTTTTATCTCAGATGTGCTTAATGCTTCATGAAGGGGAAGTTTAAGCCATAAGGCTGAGATCTCCAGTCCTAATCTGGATCACCCTGAATATGAACATTGGACTATAACCTATGGACTAATTCTGAAAGAACTCTTTGCAGCTACAAAACTCACTATCTACACTATGAATCTGATCTCACAACTGTACTCATGTCTGTACGTAGATTGATCTTTTAACCAATACTCACTCTTTTCTTTTTTAATAAATTTTAGTTTTGTTAATAAGAATTGGCTGTAAGCGCATAATTCGGTAAGATCTGAAATATTCATTAACCTGGGAGGTAATGTGTCCTATCATTTGGGATTGGTAGAACTTTTTAATATGATGAATAAGATCCTCATCATATTTCACTTGGGTGTCTCGGTGGAGGCCTGAGGCTGGGTTGCTTTAAGTGAACTGTGTTGTTGGCTTCTGGGTAACCAGTGAGGTATTATAGAAGCTGTTTTGTGCTGGCTTGGTAAATCTAAGTACTGGAATATCCACCAGCTTTGGGGACTGTCTGCCCCATTCTTTGCAGTTCACCCTAACTGAATAACTTCATCGTGGCTCCCCAGGACTCCAGTCACAGCCCATGTCACACTTCTATAGATCTCGGAGATAGGAACATTCTTGAAAAAGGCGATATATGAGGAGATCAACCTTGTGGAGTGTGTAAGAGTAGTATCTGGAGGGGTCATACTGCGAACTTGGTAACATTGTCTGATGCAGTTCGAGACCCACTTGGAGAGTCGTGGGATGATACTGGTGAGCCCCTGGATCTGTCCACAATGGAAAGGAAAAGCTTGGGGAACTTTCTGAAAGCTTTCATCCTGCCCAGGCAGAAGGCTAGGGCTCTCCTGCCATTTGGAGTGTGTAATTTAGCCTCCCTGTTGTCTTGGTGAGGCTTGGGATAGAAGGTTGAAAGATGAATCAACCTTAAGTTATCTTCAGAATGAATTTTGGATGCAGCCTGAGCGTAACCATGTCCTAAAAGGATACCATTGAAGGGGGGGATGTGCCAGCAGAGCCACTATTTCGCCTATTCTCCTGGCTGAGGTAATTGCTATCAAGAAGGCCGTTGTCACTGACAGGTATGTAAGCGAACAGGTGGCCATGGGTTCGAAGGGAGGCCTAGTCAGTCCCTAGTCATATTTAAGTCCCATGTGGGAGTAGGAAGTTGAGGTTGTGGGAAAAGGTTCATTGTACCCTTGAGGATCCTTTGGTGGTTGGGTGTGACAACACTGAGCACCCCTCTACTGGATAGTGGAAGGCTGTTAGCGCTGCTAGGTGGACTCAGAGAGAGCTCAGAGACAGCCCCAATATTTTTAGGGCCAGAACATAGTCTAAGATGTGTGGAATAGTCACGGATGTTGGGGAGATTTGTTGTGAAGTATACCAAATCCGAAACCTGGACCATTTTTGGATTTAAGTACCTCATGTTGAGGACTTTCTACTGTGTAATAATACCTCTTGCATATCATTCAAACAGGAGCTTTCTAGGTGTTTGAACCAAGGATCCATGCCTTAAGGCAGAGAACCCCCAAGCCAGGATGTAGGTCCTGGGAGAGGAGGTACAGAGTGCAGGGAGAGGGATCGTCAGGCACGTTATGCACTGTGACAGTTAAGGGACCACGGTGTGTCTCAGCCAAGTAGGAGCGATCAGACTGATGTGTGCTCCATTTCTTTTTATTTTCAGCAGAACCTTCAATAGTAGGGGAAAAGAAGGAAAGACATAAAGAAGGTCCCCATCCCAGGGGAGGAGGAGGAGAGCATCACCTTGGGAGTGTTGTCTTATCCCTGCTCTAGGGCAGTAGCATGTACATTTCTTGTACAGGTAAGTGGCAAACAAGACTGTGGTCGGTGTTCCCAGCGACCAAATAGACTGTGAAGTACTACTGGGTTTAGCTCTCACTTGTGGTCATGTGGGTGTGACATTACACCCATATTCTTCATAGAAATATTGTTGTGATATGAATATAGCATAACTAAGATATATGTTTTATGCCTCACATGACCCATCTTGCATCATTGAAAAGGTTATGATCTACTGAATGTGTTTATCCAATTTGCATACATGTATAATTTCTGTATCTGAAGTTAGGAATATTGACTATGTAACAATTACAACTGTGTGTACATGAGGGGGAACACCCACCAGACAGTAAGCAATCAGCCTGAATGAGCCATTTAAGGACAATAGAACTTTGAAGATATTAATCTCCCACCTTTCTGAGGAGGTTCCTGGGATGTTGCTTGGACACTGCAGGGTCATCTGATGAGGTCACCTGATATGGAGTACCACCGTGGACACTGCTGGTATTTTTCCAGTGGAAACAAAAGATTCCCGCCTTATGTAAATTCTATTTATGGCTGGGAAGTAATGCTATCAGGACTCTTCTCCATTGCCTCCCTATCCAAGAAGGAAGATTGCTAAAAACACCTGAAGGGAAAGGCTGAGACAGGGGTCCAGTCTAAAGAAATAACTGGAACCCTAAGCTACAGAAACTCTGCAACCTACCTAAAACAACATTTAGGGTGAAAAATTACATTTTGTAGCCTGTTTCTTGAGTGTGTTAAGTTTAGTTTGCATGTTTTGTTTTATTTGCTCAGTAATCTGCTTTGTTCTGTTTTCTATCCCTTATAAACCTTTTGTAGTTAATAAAGGTATTTCTTGTCTATTTCAAAACCCAGTTTGTGCAGATCTTTCTATTCAGTACAAGACATTATTATTTTGGGTTTATATCCCAAAGGAGGTGTGCATGTAAGTGCTGGCCATCCTCCTAGCTACGTCCTCCCACACAGAGCTGATTTCAGTCCGTCTCTGGGGCAGGTTATGGCCTTACCTATGTGTGTGCTGGAGAAGGCTTGAGAGCCTAGCACAGCAAGAACAGGGTGAGGAAAACCCAGGCTGGTGGAAAGGGCAGGCTCAGTGAGACCCCAGCACATCAGGTAGCACCCCAAAAGGGAGGTCCAACCTGTCACAGTGGGAATTTGCAACTAAGACTGTCCACTATTGAGTTTTATGTGCCCAGGAGGTAGGTTGCTTCCAGTGTGACTTTGCGGGAGTTCCACAGTCTCATTGCCTCCATGCAGAGGGAGGGTGACCAGGCTTCCCCTTGTCAATTTATGTAGTACATGCAGGCTACATTGTCTGTTAGGACTCGTCTGTGGTCCTTTGATCAGCAGGAGGAAGTGGGCGCAGGCATTCCTGACTGCTCTTAGTTTGAGGAGGTTGATGTGAAGGGATATCTTTGTGAGTGACCATTTGCCTTGTGTCGTAAGGCTGGTGGAAAGGGCAGGCTCAATGAGACCCCAGCACATCAGGTGGCAACGTGCACCACCACTATGAGCAATGTGTTGGTGGTGAAAAGCAACACACTGTGGAGATGGACCTGGCCGCAGTGTCAGTTGTGTCAAATGCAGATGATAGTGCTGTCTTTGCTTCTAGCTGTCCCTTCTGAACGATGACCTTAAATTGGTCACAATGTGACTTGGGCAGCTATTCAATAAAATCATTCAGTTTTGAATAGTTTACGTAGTTGTATTTCACCATGAGGGCGATTCAATTGGAGCGTGGCCAAGAAGTACTCCTTCCTCCCAAAAAGATCCAAACGCTTCCAGTCCATCATAGGGAGTGGACCTCATTTGGTGTTGACAGCCATGGGAGTTAACAGTATCCACCACAATGGAGTTGAGTGGAGGGTGGGAAAAGAGGAATTCGGTCTCCCTTGCTAGGACATCTTGCTAGGTCCTGGAAGAGGAAAAATTGTATGCCAGAAACAGCGGGGGAGGCATAACGGCATCATCCGGGGAAGAGGAGGAAATGGTCTTCAGGGTCACTTCATCAATGCCACCCTCCTATTCCTCCACAATTTCTTCCAGTGGTTCTGAGGCCTAGGACATCGCGGCCGAAGGGGTGTAACTCATGGGTTCTCGAGTGGGGCTAGAGGTTCAAAAGGCCTGGTGGTGATATGCAGGCCAACGGTCCCAGTATGGCCACTGGGGTGGTGGCATAGATATCAGTGGTGGTGCTCATGGATTGCCATATCAAGGTGGTGGTGGTGGGGCCATTTGAGGGTATCCTTGAGGGCTCTTCTGATATTGGGCACCACAAGGAGCCTGTGAGGAGTACTGAGATGTCATCTCCTCAGCTTCACTGTCCGAGCCCTCACTGGAGGGCGGGGGAGCATGGCAGGACAGCGGGGAAGACTCCTGTGCCGAACGAAAACTCTGTGTGGCGGTACCGGCACTAAAGAGGAGACCATCTCAGCATGTCTGTTACAGAGGTCCCTGGAGTGTCGGAATTCAGCAGTGCCGGGGGGGACGGGACAGGGACGGGATCTAGGCAGTACCAGTCGCTCTGGTGCTGGATGAAGCATTAAGTACGGCACCAATGCAGGATCGCGTACCAGTAATGCCTTCCTGGAGGAGAGCTTACTCCTGTGTTTGTTCCTCGGTGCCACTGACTCAGCACCCATGCCCATCGGGTCCAAAGGCTCATCAACGGTACCTGCCACTGAGGACTTCCATGAGCCATAGGAACAGGACTGAAAAGGTCTCGGTGCCAGCAGTACTGAGGATACTGAGTTTGCCAGAGAACGTTTACAGCTATCTCGGTGCTCACTGTGGGGACTTCTCGCTCTCTTTTTTGATGATTTGTGAGAAGCAGCTTTTTTCTTTGACCCACAGTCTTTAAGTGTTAAGGGTTGTCGAGAAGACTCACATCTGCCAGGTGACTTGTGGTGCAGGTCTGGAGAGGGTCGGAGAGCTGACTCCATGAAGATAACCTGCCTGAGCTCTCTATTCTTAGAGGACGGGGGCCTGAGTTGCTGGCAAAGACCACACTTTTGTTGGATGTATCCTTCCCCAAGGCAGCGAATACATCGGGAGTGCTTGTCTGCGATAGGGACAGCCACTTTACAAGAGAGGGACTTCTTGAAGCCCGGTGAGCTGGGCACACCCCATTGGGGGAAGGGAGAGACAGTTCATGTGAAGTTCTCCGATCGGCAGCACAGGGACACAAGCACACCTCCAGTGGAGCACCCGCCGGGACGCTACTTGAAGAAGAACTGAATAGTGGAGCAACAGCTGCCCCAGCGCTACCATCAAGTAAAACTGCCAGATAAATTCAATTCATGTACTGGATTATAGGAAACTTCATTTCCTGCTCCCCATGATCACCTTCCACCCCAATCAATGTAATGCTGTCCACTTTGGTAATGTTAAGAACAACATTAGTTTAGTATCCACCCCTCACCAGGGAGGTCTCTCTCCCTGCCTCTCTCATCTACCAAGATTTTGCCATCTTCATCTTGTGGGATCACTTGCAGTTTCCCCCTCTGTTCCATAAACATAGTCCATTTATATAGGATACTTTTATGCACACCTTCTTCCCGAAGTATCACCATTCCTACACCGGGTGTAATCTGTGCTGTGCAACTGAGGTGGCAGGAGGAGACCTGTCAATCACCATATCAGGGGCTGGCTCTACCTTCAGGAACACAACCCAGTGAGAAGGAAACCAAACCTGAAAGCCCACTTAATTATTAACTTCCCCAATTAAATCCATCTGCAGAACACAGCAGTGTAACTCTTCTACTGATCTGACCCAAAATGTAGAAGGGTAACAGTGAATTAGGACAAGACTGAACAGTCAAAGTGTAGATGTTCTTCCCCCAGTGCAGAAATAGCAGCAGCAAAACGCCCTGGCTGAGATCAGAGTGAATGTTTTAGAGGCAAAACTTTTGTTTTCCATTTGTAAAGACAATATCCCAGGACCAGAGAGGCCTCTGCAGATGTTGCCTTCACTCCTTGTTTGCAGCATCTGGTAAAAGCCTGCAAGATGACCAAGTTGCTGCCTTACACATTTCTTCATACAGCACGTGAATTTACAATGTAGAAGTGTGCTCACTCTTAATAAGCTTTTATCGTTACACTCCTCTAATACAACATCTTTAGCCACCTGGTAATGTATGCGTAAGGTGCTTTTTCACCTTTAACTAGCGAGTACAGAACAAAGAGAACTGTTGGATTTCTATATGCACAAGAGCTTACCAGAAGATAGGCTCAATTAACAGCTGTAAGAGCAACACCCAGTGTGCGTCACTTTGTCCTTATAATGTTTAGATTTGGTGCATATTGCGGGCAGAGGACCCTGAGACCTGTGGGAAGTACAAGACTCTGCCTGCTGATGTGAGGGAATTGAGTGAATCTGCTTCTGTCCTGCTGGGTTTCAGAAAAGCCAAAGCAGAGCCAGGGCTCACTCTGGGCTGGACTCTGGGCCAACGAGGGCAGGTGCCACGAGCCAGGGAACTCTTTACGGCAGGGCTGGGAACTGGAGCAGGCAGGCAAAACAAAGCTGCAGCCTTCTGCTGCCTAGCAAAGCTGCAGGATTGTTGTGCCTGAAGCTCCCAGCTCTTTGTCTTTGCAGAGGGTGGGGGAGGGGCCACTAGCTGCCTGCTACACTGGCCCAGCAAGATGCCAATCCAGCTGAGAAAAGCAAAGGAACCAAGAAAGCCAAATGGGAATCTCTTTCAAAGGATTTCCTGTGCACTATCACTGGGTGGGTGGGGGGGTCAGGAGGAGCAGAGTTGGAAACTGCCTAGTTGCTGGTTCCAGCAGGAAGCTTGAACTTGATTGTGTTCTGAGACAGGGGAGTGAGCCAGCCCCCGAACCAGTGAACACCAGGTCAGTGGCACAGCAGAGGTAAAACCTAAGATAGGAGGGGCAAGCCTGAATGAGAGAGAATGAAGCCACACAAAAGAAAGTGGAGCTACCTAGCTGCCCTAGTCCTGTTTACTACAGTGGCTCACTTGGGACCATTCCTTCCCTGGGTGTGTTAGACGAGAGCACAGACCAGAAAACCATCCAAGCTACTAATCTGAAAGGGGGGGGGGGGGGGGGGGGGGGGGAAGAATGACGATACTCCAGGACTTACCATTTCATTAAGAACATTAAATCTCCACAGGAGTCTGTGGCACCGATGATCTTTTCTGGCTCTAATCCTCTTTCAAAGCCCCTGGCAATATCGTTGCTCTGGCAAGGATAGAATGGGTTGAAAAAAAATTATAATGATTTATATTATCTTTGGCTGTTTCTTTACATCCTGACAATTTAGAATGAAGCAGGCTTAAAAGGGCACTGGCAACCCTCTGACATGTAGAAATATGGTGAGGTTATAAAAAGATGGCTAGACTCCTTAACTTCTCCAAGTCATTGTTTGGAATCTACAATTCATGAGTCAATAATAATGAACACGGAGAGAGGGGAAAACAAGGAAATCCCTAAAGCCAAGCCCCTATTTTAGGGCAATCAGTTCAAATTAACAGCTGGTGAGAGGTCCTGGATTGATAACAGACATCCCCAAAGATCAAAGTCTGCTCTCCCCAGAAGAGGTATAGCTCTGGCTACAGGGATGCTAGCTTCTCGAGCCTACCACCAACTCCAAAGGAAGAGAAGAGTTTGATTCTGTCCATGAGGTCTCTGGGCTGAGGCCGCCAACAATGGGACAATTTGTACATTTTTACTAACAGTCTGAGATGGGGCTTGTGAGCGCGTGAGGGAGGCAGGGGTGATGCAGCTCCTCGCACATACCATCTGATGGCTGTTAGGTGGCCTGACAGCTTTCAGTCACCACAGGCCATAGTGTCTGGGGCGAAGGTTCTCTCTTTCATTGCAGGAGCACATGTTATTCTCAGATACGCATGTTTGCTGCTTGCCATGCTGTACAACAGATGCTGCTATGCAGATCAAGAGGCAAACAAAGAGGCAGCCAGTTTGGCTTTGGATGCACTAAAAACATTTGCCAAATGAAGAAACGCTCAGAGGGTAATGAGAGAATACAGACCCAAGCAAAATCTGGCTACTTCACTAGTGACTAGGAGACCCACTGGGAATGCACCAATTTCAGTAAACGAATAAAATACAAAAAAATCTAAGCTACTGCATCACAATTTGCACTACAACAGGCGTTTAGTTTTTATATTAGAAATAGGTCTAAACCAAAAGGACGGACCTGAATACTGTCCAACTTTAGAAGAGTGTGGGTCTGGAGGAGAACTTCATGGCTGGAACTCATCACTATCTTCAGCTGCAATACTACAGCGTTGGGGCTAAATTTTCAAAGGAGCTCAGCACCCAAACAACTGCCTTTGAGAACAATGGGAGCTGGGCGCATTTGAAAGTCTCTCCACTTCATTTAGGTGCCTACACAGCAGCTAAGCACATTCAAAAATATATGTTTGACCCCAAACAGGGGTACTCAGCACTTTCTAAAAATCTAACCCTAAACATTCTGTGGTATATTTGGTTAAAACAGGGAAGTCTTATCAATGACAGCTCAGCTACTAGATCTAGCTGAGATGTGGAGGGTAGAGGAGCATTTTAGGGGTAAACAAAGATGTGTACCTCAAGGATGTTTTACTGCAGGTGCCACACAAGAGATCACATGGTGTAAGGGGCACAGCTTAACAAACAAATCATATTTCTGTTTGAAATAGTGGCCCTATTATTGTGACATGCAATAACTGAGATTACCATCACTGAAAGATTAGAGGGGGGAAATTTCCCAAGAGTATATTTTGTGCATTTCACAACACTTTGTGTATCATCAGTTTCACTGTTTCTCCTATAAATTACCCAGCTTCCCCTTTTGTCTTTACACAAGAAAGGAGAGGAAAAAAACATTTTTTAGAAAGTGTGACTAAACCACAGAAATTGACAGGGGACTTGGGGACAGGTACATTATCTCAAACTACTTTCAATTCTTTTTTTTAAAAATTATCTAGATTTCAAAACAATGTCCCTTGTAACAATGATTAAGAAATATCTGCTATTCCTTTTTTGCCCCCAGAAGATGTATGCAAGTCTCCAGCCTTTTAATGTTCGATCATGGACTATCATGGCTGAGGTAACACAGCAGGGGAGACTCCAGCTTCAGATACATGGCAATTGCCATGAAAAGTACTGGTGGATGCAAGCATGGCATGGATTTTTAAGACCCATACCAGTGTGTGTTGATATTTGCATCATCTCTTTGGGAAACTATGCCAAGCTAGAACATTGGAATCAGAAGACAAGATGCTTCAGCTAAGCTGCAGAAATCAAACTGTTCATTGTACTGGTGGAAAGCTTTAGTTCCAAAACTTTAAATAGGATACATAATGGGTTATAAAACTGTAATCCCGACACACTAAGGGTAACCTTCTGGATATGAAATATATGACCTTATTACCCCTTATGATTTCATTACCAGCAGACAGTAGCAATATGGGTTTGAATCTCCAATGACTTAGCCATAACTTTGTACAGACACAGCTGTAAAGGGCAGGGCATTTCTTCAAATAAGGTTGTAAAAAAAGCAACGAGAAGACAGTTCTGCAGGAGAGTTTCTTCAGGAAAGGTAAATCTGAGACATAAAATACTGCTCAACGGTTCCTCATTTATGTAAGATTCCATATATTAGTCTTTTCCACAAAGATGGGCTTTAATAACCCATCTTCTCACGTTTTGTGCATTGGACTGCACATCTGGGAAACTTTTTTTTTTTTTTTTAAAAGGGAGTCAACATTTTTATTTTATACTTCAGCCAACAAGGCCCCCCTGCCCTCATCATAATTGAGTATCAAGGTGCTTGCAGTGACAGTAATTTAACCAACAGGCATCATTACCTCCAGCAACCTGTCTGGATTTCCTACATTTTCAAAGCCACGTCTGGGGATTTACTTTCAATGCCCCATTGGCTTTTAATGGTGGTTAAAAGTCTGTGCAGCACTTTGAAACACAGAGCTCCTGTTCTAAGAGAAAGCACCATGTTTCTGCCGCTCTGTTGTATTCCTTGATTTCCTTTCCTCTCTTGACCATGAAAGGTCCACCCACTACCTCCGTAGTCTGGGTAAGTAGGGCTACATGATACTCCCTCTATAGCTGCTTGACCTTCCCCAGTTTCCCTGGGAATTACTGTCCATCAGCCTATACTGTAGTTCTGGCCTCCAGAGTTTGAAAATTAAATGGCTGGGTTTCATTAAATATTTGCTAACAGATTAGAAAGGCCTGTCAGTCTTTTGTGATCTTCACAGCTGTGAATGGTGCTTTGTCTCAACGAGGCTAAGGCCATGACCTCCATAAAAGTTACTCTGGTTTCCCAGGTCTACTTTAAAGGTACAAGGTTCTGGAGTGATATCTAGGCCATATTGAAATCAATGGGAGTTTTGCCACTGATTGCAAGGAGGCCAGGATTTCACCTCTGACCTTTGAAGCCCTTACTAGCTAGGCCCATCTTGAAAAATGTATTTCATGGCAGCTATTGGCTGGTACAGATGACCGAGTCCATGGCCAAACACTCAGGAGCCAGAGCTGTCACAGTGGAGATCTGTACAACACACAGCTGTGGGTGTCAGGAGGAGACCATGTCTTGTCAACTGCACAAAGAGATGCATCTTTCAGGAGATGCTGCAACAACTCTCCAAAGAGAAGAGCAGAAGTGCCCAGCCACATTCCAGTGGGAGGCAGGCATTTTACTGCTGCATCCTCCCTAGAGCCCCAAATGACTGTTGCAGACTGAGACATACAGGAAAGCCTCTTGCTTTAGGCACGTATTGTTTTAAGGCAAGATCTACTTTAAAATACTTATGTCAAGCTTAAATCAGCATTTAAAGTCTCTTTCTTCAGTCAAACAATAAGCTGTATTTCTTGTGTCCTAGCCTACTGCAGTTTGCTCCTTGTTTGTTTATTAATCTTTATTATATTTAAGACCCTAATTATTTTTAGTGATTCAATTTTTTGGAGTCAGCGGCAGCATTTAGTTCATCCTATTCTAGGGCAGCTTTCCTGAAAGTTGTACAAAGCTGGCAGACTGAAGCACAGCCAAACTGAGGTGTTGCTCTATGCCAGTTTGCCTAACAGAATACACCCTCTTGACTCTTTCGTTTTTATAATTCTCTCATGTAATTTTTAGGAGGTTGCGGGTAGGAGATGGTTTCCACCAGCACAGATCAATATATTCTGTGCAGAACAGGGCTCGCTGCTTTGCTAGAAACTTGTGGCAGAATGGGGTGAAGGAAAATCCTGCAAGCTCACCTCCCTCTTCTTTTTGGTTTTGATGTCCTCGGCACTGTTGGAGAGGCTGGATTTCCTCTTTGTGCTTTCGGATTTTTCTCTTGATTTGTTGTTCTCACCCTCCTTCATTTTTTTATATTTTTTCATAAACTCACAAATCAGCTCGGGGCAGTCCAGATTCTTCTCAGGTTCCCAAGTATTGTGTTCCCTGCCATGGAAAAGATGGGCAACAACAATCAAAACAGAGGTGGAGAAGTTTTAATGCTGCCATCCAAAGATCATAGATATTGACCTACTCTAAGGCAAAGTTAGTTAGTTGTTAGCAAGCGTTTTAAGCCGAGTTCCCCATTTCCTTTGGGAGCCCAGACACCTGCAGTATCAATACTTTAGATACCCTTGCACTTCATGAACACAGATTGCAGTGTTGCTAAGTGACTCATAAGGTGAAGATTTCAAAATGAAGCATAATCTCAGACTAACAGGAGACAGAGAATGCATTTGATTATTCTAGAATCACCTGGAAGTCTGCAGAGCTCTTCACTGCAGTGATAATGGAGGTCATTATCTTAAGTGAAGACGTATGGATAAACCAGGTTTGACTAAACAAGGTTCTACCAGATTTTCTATGCAAATACATACTTCCCAATCCCTCCCCCCAGAACCTTCCTTTCTGATCATCTGTGTTAAATGTTCTGCCCCCGCCCACAGTATAAAGCAGTGTGCATCCATTTAAACAACCCATGCCAAGATAAAAACCTTGCACATTTTCAGTCATGGCTGTGTTTCACGGTAGACTACTAGATTCCCCAATGGTCTGGCCAAAAGCCATGAAAAACACACAGGACACACAACCTGCAAAAAGTTTCCCCATTGGGGCAGATTAAGAGGAAGTTAAAGGGGAGATTTTTTTTAAAAAGGCACTTGAAGTATCCCTCTTCTAAACAGCCATTTACCCAAGCTGCAGTTAATAGCATCTCCACAATAAGTCTAGACAATAACTGCTCAGGTGCACCTTCACCCGGGAGTCAGTCACTGGTGCTCAAGTGAGGAGGAAGACTATAGACGAGAGTGCTGGTGAACAACTCAAGTGGAACTACCAACTCCATGAAGTGAGAGAGGGAACGCAGATGCCAAAGGGAAAGTAACTTTTGCCAGTGTTTCACAACCCACTCACAATCCCAGGCCCTCTCCTCGTGACCCACTCATTTAAATGGATGCACGCCACTCTTATCTGGAGTGAAGAAGGCAAGCTCCACCCTTGAAGGTGTTTAGGAAAGCTTGAATGAGGGCAGCAAAGGTCAAATTTGAAGCACTGCCTGGAGCGCTGCTAAAGAAGATAGCCCAAGTCAGAAGGAAAGTTGGACTTACTCAGAGAATCCTTTCCACTTGAGAAGATACTCCACTTGACCCTTCACAACACGCCTGTCTAGCACCTTCTCCACAACATACTCCTCCTCATCTTCAGAGGACGAACTATCTGCTGTCCTCTTGGTTTTCTTTCCCATAGCGCAGGAAGTTCCACCTAATGCACCAAGGCCACCCAATTCCTGCAAATCGGAAGTGAAATGTTGTTAATTGTTGGCACTGATGCAGGCTTCAGCACTGCTCCCAGCCAAGGTATCACCCACCCATTTGGGACCCTCTAAGGTTTCTCCAACTCTTGTCACTAAAGCGCCGACCCTGCAGAGAGATCCATGGTCAGAGCTCACTGCAGGATCAGGGCTTAAAAGGCCACTATAAACAGAAGGGGAAGAATGAGCGTGAACAAGACTATGAGCCTGTCATTTAAGGACTTGACAAAGTGACTTTGTCCAGAATTGCAAGATTTTTGAAGCGAGTTGGTATTTCCAGTTGAGCTGTTGATGATAGCTAAACTGATCCATTTTAATCTCTGGAAGGCCTGTCTACCCTGGGCTGGATGCAGAGTTCAGTAAATAAACATATTCTGTGGATTTGCCCAGCAGGAATGCCCCCATCTAGAACTACAAATACATCCACATCTGGGGAACCAGTTACAACAACAACGGGGCCCTACCTATTCCAGGGGCATTTTTATAGAAATTCTGAACACTAGTTCAGCACCACAAAGGTTAGCAATGTTGGAAGCCACAGCATGGATGAGCAAGGGTTATCAGATGGCGTTAAATGCCAGTGGTCCGTCTACATTAGGGCTTCCAGCAGCAGTGGAGCTGAACATTCGCAGTGGTGCCATTTTTTTTTTAAAAAACAGTTTCCTCCGTGTAGAGAGGGCTTGACTGTTCTTGAACCAATTCTACAACCATCGCCTTTACAGATACCAATGGATATAACCACCCTATCCTCCTCAGAAGGCAAATATTATCTCTGTTTTACAGAGGAGAGAAAACGAGGCTCAGAGTTTGAAATCATGACTATGTTAAAAGACTAGACCATGTCACCCTATATTGAAAGGTCCAGATGCAATTTAACTAGGTTGCATCCTGATGTAAGAGAAACAATTGGACTGGGGTAACACAGACAGGACCTTAAACTCTGAGCCTCAGTTTCTCCTCTCTGCAAACCAGGGATAATACTTAGCTATCTCCCAAGAGAGTAGTGAGGTTAAATTAATCAGGTTTGAGATCTTTAAATGAAAACTGCTATGCAAGTATTATTAAAAGATCTGAACAGATATCATCACTTTCCAAAACATACATGGGTCAGAAACAAGGGAAAGTTCAGCCCCAAACTAGAATTCAAGTAATTGAGAAATAAAAACGGGCTATTTCAACCTTGACTATCACGTTACTACTGTGATTACTGGGCTGCAGCCATTAAAGGCAGGTATTCATGGGACAATAGTTAAAGTTCTGTCAATGTTAGATATAAAATGGCATTTTTCCAGGAATTTATAGCTTGGCAATAAAAACCATTCCAGACAAACATGGGGTTATGAGGTTTCTGTCCCAGAGTGAAGTTTTAGACAAAAATTAATAAAGGCAGGGGGAATCAATTATACCCTTTGAGGTACAAGAGTGAAAAAAGTGGTTATAGCAGATTTGTGCTCCTATAACTTTACTCTGCTTCCAGTTTAACAAGTCTAACAAATTATTAGTCCATAAACCTTGTGTGGTCCAACTGCATTGGGTATTAAGTTTCATTTTATTTTTAAATTACAGATCCCCTCTAGTATAAAACTCGGCCACTGCACATACACAGAACAGTCATTGCTGCACGTGGCATAGCTAATTAGAAAAAAGGTCCCAGTTTAAAATGTTGACTTTTCAACAGTATTTCTTAGTACACAGGCTTACCAAACTGGGAACCTTTCCAAGCTCCGAGGTAAATGCATATTTTTATAACCTCAGTTGTTGTTTCTTTAAAAGAGGAATTCAACAACCCACCCCCTGAACACGCAACATGTGATTTAGACAGAAACCAGGAAATTCCAAGTTAAAGCAGACTCCCAGTTCTTAACTTGGAATTTCCTGGCTTGTGTCAGTTTAGGCCACACAGCTAATGTTCATTAAACAGTTATGCATTTAGTCCTATGAGGCACTAGTATACTTCTGGCCCAGGAGTGGATGAATAAGCTGCCTGAGGGCAGAAAAGGCAAATGGACAGAGCTTGAAACAAGCCAACCACCAGCAGACCCAATTTAATTGCACTATTTCAGTGAACCTGGGAGCATGAACAGGAATCCTAACCTGGTTGCTGCATCAACAGAATTGCTAACTACAAATGCAGAATCTTTATCGATGGTGATTCATGGTCCACAATTAGCCTAATTTTCTTCACAGACCTCAACGGGAGTTTGCTGAGCCTTTTTACTTGTAAAACTGGCTCATGCGCTAGACACAAAAAACCAAACCTGGAAATCCATGGAATCATTTCCACAAAGTCTGTTTTCAAAGTAGAATCACACTTTAAAAGCATTTTTAATGGTGTTATGCCCCATTCACACAGCTCATTGTGTATGTTTCACAACACTAAGGGCTTGTCTACACTTAAAATGTTACAGCAGCACAACCACAGTGTAAGTAATCCACCTCCCTGAGATTGCAATATTGATGTAAGAATTCTTCGGTCGACCTAGCAGTATCTAGAAAAGGACTTAGGTTGTCTTAACAACGCCACGCCCCTGACCGATGTAGCTAAACCAACCTCATTTTCTAGTGTATAGAATTAGGCCTGGTCTACACAAGGAAGTTTTAACACAAAGACAGAGCCTTGGAATAACTACTTTCACATATCAAAGTCTGGCCTTTCCTGGAGAGAAGGGGGAAAAAAAAAAAAAAAAAAGGATACAGGGACTTGGTTGGCTTAACTACATTGCTCAGGGATGTGGATTTTTCACATCCCTGAGCGACACAGTTTTCTAATTTAGGCCAGGCCTTATTCTTGAACTTGCTTTACTTTAATTGCAACTAAACTGCTTTACAAACAATCCCTCCCCCAGGGTTATTAAAAAGCGTGGTGATTTAATTGAGGGTTACAGCTCTGCACCAGTGAACCAGCACCACTGTAGTACTTCAGAAAAGACGCTACTGCACCGATGGGAGAGCTTCTCCTGTCCACGTAGTTATCCACTTGTACGACAGGCAGTAGCTATGTCAGTGAAGAAGCCCTCTCGTCAACATAGTGCTGTTTACACTGCGGGTTAGGTTGGCGTAACTAGGTCGCTCAGCGGTGTGGATTTTTTCACACCCCTGAGCAATGTAGCTATACCAATGTAAGTTTGTAATGTAGACCTGACCTCAGTCTGTCCAGGTGGTGACCAGATGTGGCTACAATCCTACACTCACCTTAAACTACCCTCTCTGCTGCAGCCTATAGTTATGTGCAACATCTGTCTTTCTGTCACGTTATCATTTGGCTGAGGCCATGTTAGCTAGCTGGTAAGCAGCCTGCTGCTCACCCCCACCTCAGCGTTAGCATGTGCTGCAGTCTAAGAGCTCAATTCTGCAAAATAACAAGCACCACAGAGTTAAAGGTGCTCTCAGCTCCTTACAAGATAAGGCTCAGAAGAGAGTGCATTTATTAATTCCCGAAAGAGATCACTGTTCTAGTGTTACCTGCCTGAAAACATAAGAACCACCCTACTGGGTCAGACCAAAGGTCCATCTATCCCAGTATCCTGTCTTCCGACAGTGGCCAGTGCCAGGTGCCCCAGAGGGAATGAACAGAACAGGTAATCATCAAGTGATCCATCCCTTGTCGCACATTCCCAGCTTCTGGCAAACAGAGGTTAGGGACGCCACTGATGGACCTATCTTCCATGAATTTATCTAGTTCTTTTTTGAATGCTGTTATGGTCTTGGCCTTCACAACATCCTCTGGCAAGGAGTTCCACAGATTGACTGTGCGTTGTGTGAAGAAATGCTTCCTTTTATTTGTTTTAAACCTCCTGCCTATTAATTTCATTTGGTGACACCTATTTCAGAACCTCAGAAAGTTTGGGGATTACATGTTTTCAACATCGTATTTTAATCCAGAACGTAAAGAACCACAAAATTAGCAGACTCAATGTAGTTTGATTTTAAAACAAGTCACTTGTTAAACCTGTTTAAGATAGTTTTGTAGTAGAATAGCAAAGCCTATGTTATAGAAATGTATGCTAGAGTATTAAGAGGAAACAAATCTGTATTTAAACTTTAAAAGAACAAAGGTGAAGAGGGAAAAAAATGCCATAAAATGTAGTTGGTTGCGCTATGATACCATGGTAATGGGCATCCTGAACATACTTAAGTGTGGGTAATTTATTAAGTTAATAACTTTATGAAATCACATGTACAAGACCACTCCCTAAGGCCCCCCCTGCTAAAGTGCACTGCTCCAGGTTTTCAAAACAGCTCCACACCCAGTGTCTACCCAATGTGCTGAGCTCTTTTGAAAAACTGGCCATTTATTTTCATGCCTTAACGGGAGCTCTGAGCTCTTTTCAATAGCAGGCTCAGACTCTTGTAAACATTATAGAACAGGAACAGGAGCTGCAGCAACTCAAATGTCAACTCCAGATGCAACCCAGATCCAAAGAGAGAAATAACTAGTGGGATTTTCCCTTGTATATGTCTACAACAGCTGGACATCTTGTGAACTAGCACAATCACTTTTCAATTTTGGAGTCTTAAGTACTGCTACTAGAGAATCCATTGGCAGCCTTTTTCTAAAGGCAGATATCTCTAATCTTCCTGGAAGGGAGGAAGATGGACAAAATTAAACAATTGGAAACCTGTAGGAGTTTTATGGAAGCCTACGTGGCATCTGCTATTACAGGCAATTCAGGGACAGTATTTACAATACTTTGGTAATACTGCAAAATAAACTAGTAAAAAAGTGTTTGTAACACAAAGCTAAAGGTTAAGATATCCAAAACAAAATATACATTTCCCATGCCACTGTTGTCTATCAAGTTTGGTTACGTTGTTTCTGGTAGCACCCACAAAGTGCTAGATGCTGCACAAACACAAAACATGATATGGTCCCGGTAAGGATTTCAAAGCACATAATAATCCTTAAATATTCCCATACCTCCAGGATAGAAGTGGTAATTATCCTGATAAATCACTTAACCTCCAAGAAACCCTAA